CTGCTCAGTAAAGATCAGCTACCTAAAGATTAGTGCAGCCAAAGGTGTCTGAACCGATTCAGGCAGCTTAGCCATTCCCATCAATAAAAGCTGTTATTTTTCCCAATTAATCTAAAACACTCCTTCTCCAAAGTGATCACCTACTCACTTTTGATTCTGATTCGGGGTCAGCTGGATCCGCTGGGTTTGTCAATTCAACGGTCCGAGTCTCCACAGCGATAACTCCCACAGGGATCCCACCTAACCTGGCAAGGTAATCAGACACTCAAATTCAGGATCACTTGAACTAAATATTATCTTTTAAGCAGTAGTGGATCTCCCACAGCTCTGCTCATGGTGCATTTAGAGGTAATGCTGTTGCAAGGACAGACAATTGCTAGAAAGATTTAAATAGAAAGGTGTGCTCAAGAGTCTGCAAGTTAAATGTTTCTTTATTCCAAGACATTTTTCAATTGTCAGTCAGGATTTTTTAACAATGTATTTTTGTTGTATAAAGTGAGCACATACTAGATACAATTGTACACATAAATCTTTCACAGTTTTGCTCATTAATTTTTTTCTACGAAGAGCATAAGTAGTAGAAAAGCTAAATACTACAGATGCTGGAAATCTGGGCTAAAACAGAAATTGCTGAAAATACTTGGCAAGTCAGGCAGCATCTATTGGTAGAGAAAAGAGTTAATGTTTCAGGTCAATGGTCTTTCTTTAGAACTGTACAAAGTTAGAGATGTAATAGGTTTTGAACAAACAATGAGGGATATAGGCTGGAAGACAGGAGAGAATGAAAGACAGAAAATTTAGCCTTATAGAAAAATAAGTTACATAAATTACAATAGTTCCTCATTAACTACTATCAGATAAATTGTCCATTTAACCCAAATAATTATGTGTGGTTTCAAACATAAAAAAAAATTTACAATCTTCCCTTTGAAGTTGCCTTTTGGAGAGATCAAAATTGGTAGCGACTTAAGACTGATTGCAACTTTTTGTTTACATTTTTAAGAAAAAAGTTGCCAAAGTGTCTTTTAGAGACACTATCCCTCAGGATAGAAAGTTTGTTGTAAATTCTAATGTCTTATGTACCAGCCTCTTCATTCCTTCATACTCTGAGCTGCATTGGTGGTCTCTTCCCTATCTTTAGCCTCAAGACATCAGACTAGATGACAATTTATTGGTTCTTACCTTGCCCTTCCCACAACTACTGTCTGTGCCCAGGGTTTCATGATTTCAATGAACGATCCATGGTCAAAGAAACCACTCTGCCAGGCACCCTTGATATCTGCAGGTGAAGAAAAATCACAAAAGAAGTAAATAGTTGTCCTCAACAAGTCATGAAGTGGAACAGTCTTTTCAGTGCTTATCCTTTCTCCAACAGCATTTGCTAGATATTGCCCCAGACATTACATGCATTCCACAAGTAGCACAATGTAGTTGCGACAGCTTTACTCATGGGATAATTGTAAAAAATTAGAAGAAGTTTTAGACCCAAATGATATGTGCTAATCTGTAGCTGTTCATCAAAACATCACTTATTGTCCAGAATAATGACATTTCTCTTACTTGGATGAGGTCTGCCAGCCAGCATCCAACGAGGATCATATGGAGCCTTGGTGGGGACAAAGTCAATTTCCCTCTCAGGACAATCCTTCGGGGTGATTACAGGCACTGGACTCGTGTTGTTCTATAGGAACCGAATAAAACAAGCATTCATCCAACATGTTAAAAGAGAGAGAACAACAGAGCCTGATAGAAATTAATATTTAATCTGATCGGAGTTAGTTCCCTTACAGAGGGGCAGGGAAAGGATGTGAGTTTTACATTTGGAACAACAATGTAGGAACAAGCTATCAATATTGCTACCGTCTAATATGGTCTGAAGGGATGCCTAAGATGTAATGGAACAAGGGAACAGATGATAGACATATTAATTAAGAAGTAAGTGTGCATGAATTGGGTATATAAATATGTCAGGCAACCAAACAGAGGGTAAAAGTTCTATGAAATCTGGTTAAATTAAATAAAATTCTCACGAAAAATATGGATTTTAAATCTGTTCAAAAACATTTTTCCTTCCTTGTATAACAGTGTTGGGAAAGGATGGTTGAGTTGAAATGTTAAATTTTGGGGTATAATTACCCATTCCAGTTTTCTGAAAGCAAGCCTTATGGACAGTGAAAGAATGAAGTCACCGTGGGGACCTGGAGTTACTTCTTTACCAAAGGGGAAACAAGAAATGGCCTTGGCATTTTTCTTACCATGCAAAAACAGGATAAAAAGCAAAGTTTTTTTTTCCAAATTGGAACCTACTAATTTGAACACGAATGAAGAATGGACTGACTGTTAAATTAGTGGATAAGGTTGAACAAAACAATGATTCACGACGATTTATGAGGCATGATCAGAATTTAACAAATTTAGAAAGACTGAGGATCATACCATGGAAGAGAGCAAAATGGGAATTCAACAAATTGTTTGCAGAAATTTCATTTGGAAATTCCCTCTGTGCTGGCATTTAAAGTTACAGCCAAAGTATCAAGAGCGGACAGACATTTAGTTTTGATGGGAGTTTCCGGATAAACATGCACTACTAGAACAAAAGGTCAGAAGCACTAAAAAAAAATTCCTAGGAAAGAATTTCTTTCCAGCAGCGTTCATATTGCAAAGGGGGCATTCGATGTATCCTCTGTTGTGTCAATGTTAACAAATTGGTGAGACATCTAGATTCAGTTTGTATGTGAAAGCATAAAAAGGAGAATGCCAGGTTGGTCATCCCAAGAATGTGTAGTTTTATCAGGTATTAAGTGGACTTTATGTTCGAAGAACAAAGTTTAATTTCTTGCATTTGAACTATAGGGAGATGTTGATTGGAAGCTTCATTTTTCCCAGGGTAGAAAAACAGATTAAAAATCTACTTTAACACATTTTATGATAGGAGGTTTGGAAAGATAGAGGCCTGTGAGAATATCCTGCATCAGACTTTTGACAACCTTATTACATAGCCCATTAAAACCTCACAGCTGGTGAAACAAAGGCGGTGAAGAAATTCACCCCCTCTAAAAAACGAATAAAAGTCTTTGTGATTGAGTGAAGCTTCTGTAGGTCTGAAACATTTATCAAATTTTTAATGGTGAGGGTCATGGGGAACTGTCCTTAAAAAGTTTCCTTTCTTATCTGTGAAGAAGTAAACTTGTTTGAACAGTTTCACCCACTATCGTATTTCAAGGAAGCATATTGCAGAAACATACGACAGAATAATGATCATGAACTTTGTTTCAGATTTGTTCCAATTCACATTATAAACTGTTCCATATACAGATAACGTTCATGCCAGCAAAGTTCAGCGTAGGTAGTTAACACGCAATTGAGATGTGGAAGGCATTAAACTAATCTTTTTCCATCTTTTACAAGTTATTTTTACACAACTCTGCTGCAAACTTGCATCATCATACCTTAGGCATGTACGATAGCCACTGTAAGATGGTATAAACACCCTCAAAGTCATCAGGAACAGTAGTATGTGATATACCATTGTTGTGCATGATATGCACTCCACCTAGCTGGTTGTTGGATGTGTACACTTTACGACCAAGAACCTGATGGAATGTAGGACATATGCTGGCAATGAGAGAAAGTCAAATCATTTTCCTTAAATATTTAGAAACACAAATTTAAGTCTGAGGTAACTGCAGTTAGTTTACACTGTCAGAAACAAACTGACATTAGTTAAAAATCAGTCAGAGGAAAATATAACAACCTAAAAGCCAACTCCTATGGCAGTAAATATAAAAAAAATCAGGGTGGGCAACCTTTTCTGGGAAATAAATGTGTGTGTGTGCTGTCAATGACCAAAAAGCACTTCTACGTTAGATAACAGCATTCTTCTACATGAAATCTCCTCTTTACTTCCCCAAAATGTGCTTCAGCATCTTACTGCATTTATCAGCTTTCTTTATGTTCTTGGAGGGAGACCAGTACTCAATATTCATTCAGAAGCAGCTCTTTTTGTGTGCCTTTTCTGCTCACTTCCAAATTGGCACAAGTCCATAATTAATTTTCTAGGATTCTTACAGCAGCTGATCTCAATCCTTCATCACATCATTCCGAGCAGGATTTGAATACAGGTCATAGGGATCAAAGCACAGCACCCCAGATTAATCTTTGGAAACTTCACTTCCATTATTGACCTCACTACGCGAACCACGTCCTCTTTGGAGAATAGTGAAGGAGGCATCCCCTGTTTCCTGTTCTTTGTACAGGTGGATTGTCTAACCCCATGATGCTACATCTGCCCATTCCATTTCATCATATGGTCAAGGCTGTGGGAATGGAAATTTCAGTGATTCAAATTCAGCTCAAAGGTTCAAATGGGATTTTTGCTTCTACTTTGGTACATTGTGTCAGTTACTATGGGAATTAGTACATTTTATTCTGACCTTGTTCAGTGCACTGGCTCCAGTGAGAATGATATGGGAATTTTCCACTTGGATCACACGTTGTCCCAACCTCACTAAGTATGCTCCAATTCCAATTGCACGACAAGTCACCTGCAAAATAATAAATGGACTATGTGGATGAATGACTAATGGCCTTTTCTGCTAGCTATTAGCGATATTGACTGGCACTGGGGAAGAAATTTCTTTAAAATGTATTTGTCACCAATTAGTGAAATTCTACACTTTGTTATTTTAATGAAGCTTTTAACCCAATTTAAAAAATGAATAGAGATATTTAAAACATATTAAGCAATCCATTATGAATTGCATGAAGGACAATTTGTGCTCCAAGTCTTAGAAAGTAGATTTTTTTAGCCTTTGTACATCATAGTCGTGTCCTCTCCAACAACTATCATAAAGTCGAGGTGCTGGTGTTGGACTGGGGTGGACAAAGTCAGAAGTCACACAACACCAGGTTATAGTCCAACAGATTTATTTGAAATCACAAGCTTTTGGAGTGCTGCTCCTTCCATCAGATGAAGTGGAGAGAAGTGCACAGGCACAGAATATATAGATGGAGAGATAAACTAACATAGATTTACAAGTCCTCCTCTACTGTTTGTTTAATGGTTGGGATATGTTACTGTTTCAGACACATACTTAATTACATTTTTTCAAACAAATTCCCTCCTGAAGACAGTCAAGTTGCATTGGTTACATTCATTAGGTGTAAGCTAGGACACCGATTTCCCAACAGGTCTTCAAGGCTCACATCAACTCCATTAAAAAAAGACAAATACAAAAATTTCCTCTGACTAGAAACACTGACATTTTACTGTTTCAAAGTTCATTTAGATAACAATAAAAAGGTTTTGGTGATAATTTACTCAGTTTCACAATTTATTTCTTTCTCTAAACATTTGATACTTGTTACCCTCTTTTCCAGGATCGTACTCAAAAAGAATGAACTGATCTCCACCCTACAACTTGAAATTATTTTTGCAGTCTTCAAAGTTGACTAATTAAGCATTTGACTTAAGACTGTGTTTACTCTGTGACAGTATCGGGATGCAGCTCCATTTAAATAGCAGAACACCACATTGTGGATTATATGACATTATGCTCATATCCTTATTTGACATCTGACTTACTGTGAGTGTTACAATAGTAAATTTTGGGTTATGGGGTAGCACAGTCTGTCACACTTACCAGACTGATGGTGACAATTTCATTGTAAGCAAGGGAGGATTCTCCAGCAATGGTTCCAGCTCCTCGCAGGTTCTCCACTCCCAGGCCTTCCTCTTTGCCAATAATGTCAGTTATAACATATCTAAAAAATCAAATATAGTCAAGGTCACATGGCCTTTCCTGCACAGCTAATTTTGTTTAAGGGGCTATCACTAATGATAATGCATGTAATGTTTGGCTAAAAACTATAAAGTTTAGAACATTTTACCTAAATAGTCCAGCATAGCAAAATACCCACTGCTTCCATATCATTTAAAGAGAACTGATGACTACCATCACAATTCAGTTAATAGTTTAGTTGAGGGACAGAAGGAACTGCTGATGCTGGAGTCTGAGATAACAAGATGTAGAGCTGAATGAACACAGCAGGCCAGGCAGAATCAGAGGAGCAGGAAAGCTGACGTTTCGGGTCTGGACCCTTCTTCAGAAATGCGGGAGGGGAAGGGGACTCTGAAATAAATAGAGAGAAGGGGAAGCGATGATGGAAGGTGGATAGAGGAGCAGATAGGTGGAGAGAAGACGGACAGGTCAAGAAGGTGGGTTGGAGCCAGTAAAGATGAGTGTAGGTAGGGAGTTGGGATGGGGATTGGTCAGTTTAGTTGAAATGTGTGTAAAATGCACAGTCTAAATCTATTAATATCCCTTTAAGGCAAGTGTTGGTTCTTACATGAATTAGATTCCTTCCCTTTATTTGTGAAAATGACTTGTCTCCACGCAATATTTCTTTGGGTTGCTGGCATTTAATTTTAACAGGGTCAGGCAAATAACAGATAGAACCAATTTCCCTTTCCATTGCACTAGAATAAGTACAACAATGTGCCATGCCACTAGCATAGAACTGAATGAACTTCCAAGCTTTCACCATAAAAGTGTTCAAATAAAAAGTGCCAGAAAGCAAGTCATGCACAAATAGAAAACATTGATATTACACTACCAAAGCTAAATAGTCCCCAAAGGAAAGAATTCTTGCTTGTTATGATTTTAGGTATGGCTTAGCATACAAGGTACTCAGAGATGATAAGCCCTTGAACAATACTAGATATATTCATTGATTGTGGACTTATGCAAAAGATTTAACTGGAGCCAGAATCTGAAGACAAGTTTTAGCCATGTCAGGAACTTTCATATCAGATGGCTTATTAATGGATGGATTCACTCACAGTAGCAAGAAAATGTAGCCATTGCAAGAAAAACTCAATAATATTAAATCAAGTTATTAGAGTCATAGAGGTATACAGCACAGAAACAGACCCTTTAGTCCAACTTGTCCATGCTGACCAGATATTCTTAATTAATCTAGTCCCATATGCCAGCATTTGATCCATATCCCTCTAAATCCTTCCTATTCATGTACCTGTCCAGATGCCTTTTAAATGTTGTAATTGTACCTGCCTCCACCACGCCCCATGGCAGCTCATTCCATACAGGCACCACCCTCTGCATGAAAAAGTTGCCTCTTAGGTCCCTTTTAAATCTTTTCCCTCTCATCTTAAACCTATGCCCTCTAGTTTTGGATTCCTCTACCCTATAATAAAGTGGCCATAGTTCGAGAAGACCATAAGGCTTTCTCTCATTGCAGAGAGTTGGCTGCTGGTGATTTAACTGAGAGCCACCATGCCTCAGGCAAGGGGCAATATTGAAATGGCACGATGTCGTGGTGACTTCAGCTGGTATAGGAACTAAACCCACACTATTGGCAACACTCTGCATCACAAATCAGGCATCTAGCCAACTGAGCGAACCATCACCCTTCAATTACTGATACAAGGAAGTATCTAGTATGTAGTACAATTGCAATGATCTAATGTAGACTATGGGTTGGATTTTCATTCTGGTCAGGGCCAAAGTGGCTACCTGCTGCATGTGAATGGATAGCCATCCCAGTCCGTACCAGAAACAGACATGTGCCAAATGGACAGAGATGGAACATGCTGGCAAAACTGCAAACTAACTAATGTGTCCACCTCTGTTTAAAAATTCAACTCCACAATCTTTGGGTTTGGAAGAATAAGGTTTGATGAGCGATTACATACATAGCATTTACAACACGAAAACAGTCTAATTTGTCTAACAGGTCCAACCTTTTTTTCATTCAACCTCATCAACATATTCCATTGACCCAGATGTGTTTCCCATGCTGACTCTTAAGTTGATCTATTTGATTCATCTCAACTATTCCTTGTGATGGGGAGTTCTACATTCTAGTTACTCTATGAGCAAAGATGTTTTTTTCTGAACTACCCTTCTGGATTTATTAGTGACTGTCTTATATTTATAATGCCTGGTTGTGGTCCTGTCTGGAACTGGAAACATCTCATCTAACGATTGTTTTGTCACCTTAAAAGCCTTAAGCATATAATGCCAAACGGTATCTTAATGAACATTGCCCTCAGTAGCTAATGACAGTTATTAATTAATGATGAAGCACATTGTCTCCAGCATGTAAACCAGCACTTTGCTCAAGGTGCTATGTTGATTAGCAATCAGTAACTGGATTGGCTTTTTTCCCAGTTGCTTCAGACAGGGGTAGATAATCTGAACATATAAAATCGATACACATAGTTGGTTTCCTTGCAATGCAGTTGTTTGAAGAGTGAAAGAATCTTTAAAACTCTATAATCAAGAACTTTATAAAAGCTTTGCTCCAATTTTGTCACTCACTTCAATTTTTTGTTCATCAGTGTAACCAGAGATGTTACACGGTTTTCTCCTTTTGGATATATGCTGACTATGCATTAGTTTCAGATATTCAAATTTTCCTGCATATAATACCCACCTGTACTCTCCATCCTCCTCAACATGTTCACAGTGCACAGAGTTAAAGGGGCTAATTCTGGTGTAGTCCTGAGGCGTCAAGTATAGGTATCTGAAGCCCTGACAAATAAAATGGATTATTGAAAAGAAGTATGATAAATGAATAATCCAAACGGTCTACTTAAATTTCAGTGCTTCAGGGCTAAATGTCACAAACAAAATTATAATGTAATTGTATCCTTGATCCATTGAAGAATTGTCTTAATTGTCCAATGCAATCAAATTTTGATTATAAAATAAGACTTATTTTAATGGAGGGGAAATACTGACTGAAATATTATAATTATCACTCTGAAATGATAAAAGCTTTCATCTCCTTGTGTATCCAATCAGTGCCTTGAGCCAACTGTATTACACAACCTTTTTAGTTAAACTTACACAGTATTAATAGAGTTAGCTGTACTGGTTTCTGGATGCTGGACATCCCCTCTTACAAAAGGTAGGTACTTCAGGGAATTCAGAGTCAGAACAATTTTCTGCACAACTGATGATTACTTAGGTGCATCAGATTCAAGAAATCTTCACGCAAATTTGCCTTTTTTTTTGTCTAATTTGTTTGCCTCTGGCAGGCAGTCACGTGACTTTGAGGGTTGGGAAAGGGACACATTGTGGTGCAGTTAAGTGAACCAGACAGGATGAACCAGAGATTCTTTACCCGCCTATCACTGTTAATATGTTCATAATTTTAAAAAAGGCTACAGCCAAATTTGGTTTGATCCACACATTATAGCACTGTACTATGAGTCATTCAATCATTCACACAGTGTGGGTGTCACTGGCAACCAAATGTCAGCAATGATTATCACCCCTAATTTTCTGGTCAGCTGCCAGTTTGAATACAAATGAGTGGCAATGCCAGGCCATTTTAGAGGGCAGTTAAGAAGAAACCACATTTATGTGGGTCTGAAAGTCACATGTAGGCCAGGGCAGCAGATTTCCAATCCTGTAGGACATTCGCAAACTAGATGTATTTTAATGACAATGTAGCAGTTTCATGGCCAATATCAAAACTGGCTTTTAAATCAATTTTTGAAAAATAATTTAAGTTCTCCAGCTACTAAGATGGGATTTAAAATAAATTCCTCTAGGTCCCCAAATGACTTGCCCAGTAACAGTACCACAGTGCTGACATACCCAACTAATCATGCACGGCAAAGAACATAAGAAACAGAAATAGGAATAAACTATCTAGCCCTCTAGCCCACTGTCCAATGCAAGAAAATCAGAGTTGATTTTTTATCTCAACTCCACTTCCCTGACAGTTGGCCTTATCCTTTAATTTCCTGAGAAATCTCTGCTAATGTTAATTACCTTATGTCTCTCATTTTTATTAGGCCCTTTGATACCATCTATTTTTGCCACATAATTTGTGTCTTCTTCTGTCAAAACATTTATTCAATTATTACTGGTTTAATCGCTACTATTTCCTGATTCACCATGATAATTTCTCCTATCGCTGCCTCTAAGACTATTTTTACTTTAGCTACCCTCCTCCTTTCTGTGCACTTATAAAAGGCAATCTGTTTTATTTTCATGGCTTAAACTTTATCTTCTCTTTCTTCAATTAAACTTTTCAGTCACCCTTTGCTGGTTTCTATAACACTCTTAATCCTCAAGATTACAGAATCCCAGCATTGTGCAAAGAGGCTGTTCAGCCCAATGGGTCTGCACCAACACTCCAAAGAGCAACGCACCCAGACCTATCTCCCAGCCCTATCCTCATAAGCCTGCATTTACCGTGGCTAATCCAGCTAGCCTGCACATCCCTGGACACTACGGGCCAATTTAGCATGGCTAATCCACCTAACCCGCACGTCTTTAGACTGTGGGAGGAAACCAGAACATCCAGAGGAAACCCATTCAGACATGCAGAGAATGTGCTAACTCCACACAGTCAACTACCCAAGGCTGGAATTGAACCCAGGTCCCTGGTGCTGTGAGGCAGCAGTGCTAACCACTGAGCCACCATGCCACACCACTATGCTTCTCCTTTTAATCAAATACTATCTGTAACTTTCCTAGTTGCCACATTCTTAAAGAGCTAGTCATGATTTGAATCCCTTCTAATCTATAACACTCTTTGAGTCATGTGTTTAATTCTGTAATCTTTTTGGCTCTTATGATGATTGGCACATGGTTCAGGTAGCAATCTAGAGATTACCACCTTTGAGATTCTTTGTTTTAATTTGAACCCTAATTCCTCAGTTCCATTCATCAGCACATCGTTCAAAGTCTACCCGTGCTAAGGCTCCTATTTGGACCGCAACAACTTATCTTTCCTTTCCACACCTTTTCTGTTTCCAGATTCTGGAGATAGCTTTAACATTGGACAGGCAGCACACAATCAACTGCACAGAAAAATGTCTATCCTTCACAGTCTGCCATTAGACATCACATTCCTTTTCACTACTGTAAATTGAATGGTTCCTGCATCTTGGTGTTTTTGTCAGTTTACTCATGCACATGGCCATTCTGTTAATCATGCACATGGCCATTCTGTTAATCATGCACACAGGTAGCAAGAACCTCTCCCAACAGGTAGCAAGGGCCTCAGTCATTTAAGGACTTACACTCACTCAATGGAAAGAAGGTGATCTGGAATTGAGCAATTCTTGATACAGCGAGAGAAGGAAAACAGATTTACCTTGTATGGATCATCTGGATCTTCCCAGGCCACTTGAAACATATTCCTTATCTCTTCAGCAAGGCCAATCCTGGCACCACTGTTAGCTGCTATGTAGATTCTTGGAATGCCTTCCGCTCTGGCTAGTTGAGATGCCCGCAAGAACAGCAAATCCTCCTCGGGGCCAAATGAACCAGTCTTATAAGTGAGATCATTACATATGACAACAATGTCACGTCCTTCAGGATATTCCGGAGTTTTTAAGTTCATTTTCCAGGCCACCATTCCTACCTGAGGGAAAGTCCAACACAACCGTATTTAATACCTAGAGGAGTATTATCATGTAAAAGATTGAAGAAATGTAGGTTGATATGGAAGAGGACAACAAATGTCTGAGTAAGAATTGTACAGAACATGAAAGTGGCATGTAAGAATCAGCAATGAATCTAACAGTAAGATTTCTAAAGAGAACTAGAATTGTTCAACAACACCATCAGTGAAAGTGCGGCAAGCAGAGCTGGAAATTAGAATCGGATTCTAAGCTCTAAGGAGATAAATGCATTTTTGCTATTATTTTATTCCTACCAGGTACTTACATGTTCCCATACAAATTTTCTTTAAATGAGGAAGTTTCACATTTACATTCTCTAGTTTCATAGTTAAAAACAAGAAATTAGGACCACAGATGCTCACACACCACACTAGTTGATGTAAAGCTGCATATTAATTGTGCCAAGCTGATGCAAAATCTAGCTGTTATTCAATATAATGAGGAAGATTGTATAGTTCACCAATTCAAAGCATGATACCGTGCCCTTCACAACACCTAGATCACTACTTTTATCTGAACCTTCTCTTCTCTCCTGTTTTCAATTTTAGCCACACTGTGCATTTTGGGTCTTGGACCCTTTTTCAGGTTGCTCAGTTTAACAGTAGTGAACTGTACATACCTCATTACCTCCAGGAATCCTGTTCATATGCACGAGTTGACCCTGAGAGTCTAGCACAAGTTCTGTGCACAGGAATGGTTCCTTAGGACACTCTACATCAGACCCCCACAGCTTAAAGAGAGCCTTGGCCAGAGAAGGTAAAGAAAAGATAGAAACCTTTTTAGTCTAACTTTTCTAACAGATTTATTGTTACACAGAAAAATGAAGTTTCAGATCAGTTAAATAACTTTTGATTGAGATTTAGTAAGTGTGTCAGTATTGCTAATCAGATACACCGCATATCATGTGGTAGATTCAAACAGATTAATGACCAAATAAAATATGTGGCATAGTGAAACAAACCATGAAGATCTTTCATTTGTGCTGAACTAGCTGACCTGAGCTCAGGGAACACAATTGTGTTCAGTAACTTGGAAAGAGTGAATCTAGATTTCTCACTCTCGATCACCGTTCAGCACATGTTACTGAAAAGTGGAGATTGGCTGAGGAAACACTGTATTTATCTGTAGTCATGAACAACTTGCCAGGAGGCAGCCAGTGGCCATGTATTTGGGTTCCATCTGAAGAACGGGGGCAAAGATTGAGAAGAAAGGAAGTGAATGCTGATGCAAATATCATCCAGAATATAATCCAAAATTATTTAAATAACTAATTTATCTCATTGGGATGTGACAGAAAGGTTTCCTCATGGACTTTCCAGTTTACAATACATATACACAGGTATTAAAACAGGCTGTGCCAGATAAAAAGGAAAGAGTTTTGTTTTAAATCTGCTATGTATTCTGCAGTTATGAGGGTTTAAGGTACTTAAGACATATATTCTATATTTAGAAGTCCTGCACCATGAAACAGAATCCACCTCTGTGGAGAATGTATTATCTCATATCAAGTGGTGACTTTTCACATACAATAAAAACAGGCAAGTAACAAGCAAAATGTGCACCTCATTACCCTTAACATCAACTGAATACATTCTCCTGTAACATAATTCAAACATGAATGTGTGGGAAGATGTTTTTTTCAACTTGACACATCTTCACTTTGTAGCTTGTTTATTTACCCAAAGGATTCTCACTCTTGACTAGGAACTTGTGAATACTGGGTCTTGACAGATTCACGTGAGGATGGGATGGGTTAAAGCATGCTGACATCCACAAGATAGCAGAAAATGCTATTGTCCATGGAACTGCTCCTCAAAAAGAATTCAACACCTTTAATGAGAAGAGAAAATTGCTAACTGAGGCTGAAAAAATAGCTTACCTGCTGAAAGATTTCAGGAAAGTCATAGACATAGGTTGTTCCCAGGCTCTGAGCCTGGAATCGCTTTGCCTGGAGTAGATCTTTGGTGACATAAGGTGTATTCATCAACATTCCATGGAGAGGTCCCTGCTTTTCTCCATATGAAATGAACATGATCTAAAAACCATTACAGGAGACAAATTACAATTGTTACTATTCCTCAAAGGAAAATGAATCAGTATTGGTATAGAATCCAATGATCAAAGTATCCCAGGAAGCCAAGTGCAATTTGTGGTTATATGCGAGGCTCAGAAGGATCTAATTTCTGTAAAACTAACAGAGAAGAAAATGGCTAAAATTGACATAAAAAGACAGCTTCAAAGTTATTATAATTTCACTATTCCTCTAAAGGAGTCCAGCACAAAAGCAATATTCCTAAGCTTTTCTATCACCTATCTATTATGGCTCATACACCTATCTAGATTGTATTTCTTTCCACCCAGCTCATTGTCAATGGACTCAATTCACTTCTGAGTCTGACCACTACAAATTGATTCATTTAAATTATGCCATCTTTATACTAGAACTTCCAAAATATCTTCCACTGGCTTAACAAAAGATCCCACTCTGCTTCTGTGATTCTACACTCTCAAGTTCCCTGTTTCACAAGCATGAAAAAGTTCCCATCTACCATCCATCAGATTGTGCATTCAACAGATTATCTTCCATCAATTCCACCACCTCCAATATGATTACATCTTTTCTTGTGTTCTAAAGGAACCGTTCACACTATGACTATCCCTTTAAACTCTCCTACTAGATGTTTCCTTTCCATTAACATCTCCCCATGCAGGTACAGAAGCACAAGACACCTATTCATCCCCTCCCTATCCAAAGCCACATATGTTCCTTCTGGATAAGACAACAATTTACGTATAGTTGCTCAAAAATAAAAGATGCATTTGTTGCTGTGGTGCAGTCTTCTCGATAGAAGATAGATCAGAAGCAGGTTAGGTAAATGCTTAATTGAGTATCTCTGTTATGTCTGCAAGTGTGAGTCTGAGATCTCTTTCATTTGTCACTCCAATTCCCCTTCTCTTTCCCCTCTGGCATTTGCCTGTTAGGCTGTTCCAGTGACGGTGACTGCATATTCCAGGAGCAACACCTATTTTTCTATGAGATACTTTGTAGACCTTTCACTTTAATGTTGATTTTAAGACTTCATTTCTTCCTGCCCAAGCCTTGAACTCCTTCAGCTATTCAAACACTTCCTGCTTCTCTTACAGGCTTTAACTTGTTTCCACATCCTTTTTTTCTATTGTCTCATGCCAATAATACTTTTGCCATATAATAAGTGCCTGTTTTCCACATTTTGCACATATGAAGATTCTCTCTCTTTCCCTTGTCTTGTTCCTTTTAACTCCTGTCCATTGTTGATATCCTGCCTTGTAATGAAAAGGTCCCATCTTCAATACCTCCTCTATTCTTTCGACAGAGACTGCCTTTTAGTTTTGTTGTTTCACATTTAAAACAATTGCAATTTTTGGCTATTTCAAGATTGTTTCTCCACCTTTGCAAATTGGGAAATGAAGCTTTAGCATTCATTTACATTTTCTAAACTCAAGTACCCTCCATAATTCAACAAGCATCTACCTGTCCAGTCCTGGCATTTGTCACCTCCTTGTAAAGGCTCATATCCAAGTAATATCCAGATTCATTGGTGAGGAGCAAACGGATTGGGATTGCTTTTCCTGTGGGGGTTAGGCGAATATTGATTTTGAGCTCAGCTTGCAGGACCCTGAGTTTCCACAACCTGCTCCCATATCTCATCACCATGTCATGGACAGACTTCTCAATCTGAAAATAAACATTGAAAAATTTATAATGTCAAATATACACAACACAAAAGATTTTTTAGTGGAAGAAAATTCAGACATCCCTTTGGTTGTACTGTCAGCACTTAGAAGGGAAGCAATAATGCGCCTTTATGATTTGGTAAGTTATTTTGAATAAAATCCTCCATATTCAATAAAGAAAAACAGCAAAGTATAGTGCTGACAACTCTCACCTCCAAAACAAAACCACAATTTATTGGCCTCAGAGAAAATTGTAACCTCAGGCGACTTATATTGTGATGTGCTTTTCTTCAGAGAAGCAAACAAATTGTGGCTCTCAATTGACAAATTAGGTGCTCCAAGTTTTAGTGACTTCACCAGTTCAATAAGTTGCACATTACAAGTTGATGGCGACTGAGAGCCCTTTATACAAATTCAGAATTTTTATGAGACCAGAGATAATCAAAAAAGACAGATCAGTGACCACCCCTTATTTCTGTGAGCAGGTTTAGACTAAGTGAGACGAATCCAAACATACAGCAGACAGCTGACATTCCCACTGAAAATCATAGCAAAATATAGCCAAATCAGACTTACTAAAATTAACATTGGAGTTCTGCTCTACTGACTGCTAATACTTTATGCAAATACAAAGTACAGCACTATCACTGTACCAACTTTGGATTACAAGAGAAAGTAATTTCTGAGGAAAGATACCATGAATCTAAAGTAGCTACTTCTTTGACATATTCTAGACAGTTCCTCTGCAGATCTGCAGAAATTTCCTGTTTCATGCATAATTTCATGTAAATCATTGGAATTCGCCAGAAGTAAAAAGCAAAATAATTGCTTGATAAAAAGTTTTTCTTTGGCTTTAAATGACAGAAAGTGAAAACATTCTTGGACTAACAAATCAGACAACCACAATAAGTCGGAACTTTTCAAACCTTGGATGGGTCCATTATCACAGTTGGCACGAAGTTGAGGAAGATGTGATTGCAGTCAGTGCGGATAGTCTGTTTGTTAAAAGCCACCTCCAATTCATCCATGGCCTCAAGCAGCAGACGTTCCCCCTCATTTTGTAGATATTCAAAAGAGGCTTCCTACAAAGTGTAGAGTGCACAAGACTGAAATCACAGCAAATCAAATTCTAAAATAGATGCTTTTAATACTGTCGAAATTTTTGGAAGATCAGAATATCCTTATGTTTACTCCCAGTTCCCTACTAAACAATGGTTCTCTGAGGCCTCTACAAATTCATAGTCCAAATTCACCTTACAGGGGTGTAGCTCTGACATGGTTCTTCCTTTCCTGACCAAAGTGCACCTTTGAGGAACAGCTTAAAAGGACTTGATAGTTAATATAAGGAAAGTTCTCACCAAGTCGTGTCCCAAAAGACTGCCTTATATTGAGTCATCTCATGACTAATAATAATGAAGGACAGATGAAAAAGTTATCAAATTCATCCCATTTTCCCATTGAAGGGTAAGGTCATGTATGCAAATTAGCAGATTAGAAATAGCATGTAAGCGGAATGCTGGTAGCTTAAAATTTACTGTAAGAATTCACTCTCATTCCAATGTTGATTTTTCTTCATGATATAAAGCTCTGTTTTGCCCAATATGGAATGGAACTCAGGCTCCATTTCCTTTTCCACCCTTCTTACATAAGGTGATCATTTAGTCCTTAAAGCCTGCTCTGCCATTCAATCAGACCTTGGCTGATCTTCTACCTCAGCTCCAACTTCTCGCACTATCCCCATATCCTATGATTCCCTCAGTCTCTAAATATCTGGTGATTAGTCTTGAACGCACTTAGAATTGAGCATCGTCAGCTGTCTGAGGTAGGGAATTTCAAAGGCCCAGTACCCTGAGTGAAGCAGGTTCTCCTTGTTTCAGTCATAAATGATTCTCAGAGTGTTCTAGACCATCTAGGCAAGACATCATTGTCCCAGTATTCACCCTTGTCATACCTCTCAAAAATTTTAAATGCTTCATTGAGATATCACCTTTCATCTTCTAAATGCTACAGAACACAAGGCTAAATTATTCAATTTCTCCTCATAGGGCAACACTCATTCCTGCCTTAGACTAAATTGGAAGTTTATCTTAGAATCCCTACAGTGTGGAAACAGGCCCTTCAGCCCAACAAGTCCACACTGACCCTTGCAGCATCCCACCCAGACCCATCCCCCTATAACCCATACACCCCTGGGCACTATGGGCAATTTAGAATGGCCAATCCATCTAGCCTGCACATCTTTGGACTGTGGGAGGAAACTGGAGCACCTGGAAACCCACGCAGACACGGGGAGAATGTGCAAACTCCACACAGACAGTAGCCCGAGGCTGGAATCGAACCCAGGTCCCTGGCACTGTGAGGCTGCAGTGCTAACCACTGAGCCACTGTGCCGCCCCTATATATTTTGTAAATGCTTAGGATATCATATAAAATGCAGCCATCATATAAAGCTGCAAAGACATTTCTTTAACTTGCTTTTTTCTTTCTACCCCATTATGTCTTTTAATACAATATTGAATTAGTTCTCCAGTTATACAACCATGCATTACCTTATATAATTTCCCGCGCCACATTTGTTTAATTGTCTGATCTTTTAAAAAGAAGCCTTGTGTAAACCAAAGCAGTTTTAATACCTGGAAGTGGAGTTGGAGACTATAAAGATATGTATAAGAAGAATAATAATATTGCGGAGGATACCACAGTTCATGCAATAGAAAATGCTGCCAACCGACCAAGACAATCAATAGTAAACATGACAGAATTCTATATGACAAAAATTCCAGTTTTTATTTTGCCTTTGGGTATCTGAGAGTGCATGTACAAAACTTTCTCTCAAGGGTTGAAACAGGTGAAATAGGGCTCCTGATTGGGGAGATTTTCGACATGGTCTTTGGAAGCAGCATGCTAGATAGATCAAATAATCTTTTTTCTTTGTTCAAGCCTCTAATGTTACAATCACCTTCTTCATCTTACATTGGCTGGACTAGATTCAACGCTTGGTGTGAAAGATCCACCCATGCTCATTGACAAAATTACACTTTCACTAAACCAAACTATATGCTGAGCTGCAATGAAAACGTTGTACATGGATGCTCTGTAACTCCTAGGTTCCTCACCTTAGTGATGAGGTCAGGGTGTCGCACTATTGCTCGGACAAAGAACCTGTAGTCAGTGACCTCTGCTCCTTTTTTCACCTTGGCAGCACCTAAATACAGGTGCATCTTGTGATTACTGCAGGGAACAGCAGTGAGGTCAAAGTTTCGCATTCGGTTAAGTTCCAGCTGAAAGGCTAGTGCCGGGTCCAAATGTCGATAAATACGATCCTCTGCAAACTGGATAGAGATTTTAAAGCTCAAGCACATCACAATTATAAACTAAATAGCTTCTTCCTTCTTATTTCAAATTATATATGTCTGCTAGAGAATAGTTCAAACAAGATAAATATCCTTGCGTCATATCACAAAAGTGTCTGTTCCTCAGGTCCAACAAGTTGGCTGACCAGGCGAAGTGCAAATGCAGATTTTGCAACGAGTATTACTGAAGAGAGATAGGTAACTTTTCTCCTCTTAATTCCAGGGGTGCTCAAGGCAGTTATAGCAATTCAATCACAATTGAGATCAGATCCACACTGTCCACTGTATTTGTCTACTGTGCCTTCAACTGAGACAATCATTCCACACATGTCCTAGAGAGTCTTATACTAAATAAAAACTGAAAGAGCTGAGGATGATGGAAATCAGAAACAAAAACAGAAATTGCTGGAAAGGGTCAGCAGGTCTGGCAGCATCTGTGGAGAGAAATGAGATTTCAGGTCCAGTGACCCTTCCTCAGAACTGTTCTGAGGAAGGGTCACTGGACCCGAAACTTTAACTCTGGTTTCTCTCCACAGATGCTGCGAGACCTGCTGAGCTTTTCCAGCAATTTCTGTTGTTGTTTCTATACAGTCTTCTTCCTTTGTCAAAATAAAGCCCACTTACTTAGAGGTATTCGATTCAGGTTGTTTACCTACAAAAATCTTTCATTTTTAAAAACAGCAAGATTTTATCATGAGCTTTGGGACTCCAATACCGACACCAAATGAGGCTCCAGGCCTGCACTTGCTGGGACTTACATTGGAGGACACATTTGAAATAAAAACAGAAAGTGCTAGAGAAACATAGCAGGTCTGACAGCTTCCATGTAGAGAGAAATAAATTAACATTTCGAATCCAGTATGACTCTTCTTTGTGCACCTGCAGTATTTTGCTTTTATTGTGAGAGATATATTCCTGGAGGCAGTCTCCCTGATTGGACAAAAATCCCAGAGGCAAACAATTAAGAATGGTAGGCAAGAGGTAGATGTCTTTGGCCCCATCAGACGTCTGCCAGTTCTGTAGCACGGCAGCTTATTTGGGAAAATGGGCACTACTGAGGGATCACTCCAGCCATAGCAAAATGCCATTGGCCCAGGAAAATTAATAGGGACTTTAATCATTTAAATTGAATGTCCATCTCTATTGGACAGACAGCCAACTTACACCGAGTCCGGTCATTAAGAAGCTTCCAAAACTCCACTCCGTGGCTGTGAAAACTCTGCATGTTATCTTTACGAAATTGTGATGAGAAAAGTCTTGATGCATTTGTTAAACATGTAAAGCAAATCACAGCAAACTGCATTGCGAATAAAACATGAAAGTTTTCTGACTCTAGTCACAGAACAAAAGTTTATTCAAGAAACCAATTAAAGCTTAGTATCACAGCAAATGATTTGTGATATACAGATTGCCATTTAGTTCACCATTGATCAAACAGGGGTCAGAAAGCAGAACTCTGCTGTAGCTTTACAGCCTAATCTCAAAAGGACAATTTGAATTGAGAACAAGCAGATTACCATTGATTATTCCTTTTATAAAAGATTTCAGTTGACTAAGATATACCTGAGGATTCAACTCGAACCTATTCTGTGAAATCATTCTACACTCATTGCTCAAAAACTGTGGGAGGAGTGGTTTGACTACTTGAGGGTGGTTCCACCTGAATTCATGCAAAATTAAGATTTAAAGTAATTTGTTTATTTTTGATCATTTAAATTTAACTAGGTAGGGAGTGAGGACGATATTTAGTAAGTATTAATATAGTAGAAGAATAAATATATTATGACTGCGCTTAACACAGCATAGATATGTTTTTCTGGGCAACCACTCTGAAGGACAAGTCAAAATGTAGATTAAATATAAACATTTTGAAATCTTCAACATTCTACTCTCTGAAAATAAAATTTCATTTGAAGCCTCTTTGAGTTGATAACATAGCAACTTTCCAGAGAGAAGCAGAACGAAATGCCTTCAGTATATATTATAAAATGTGAAGGATCATGCTAAAACAGGTTAATAAGTTATATCTTGCAGAATTGCTTTAAGGTTTTATTTTGGTGATATGACAGTAATGATTAACTTTGTTACTGTTATTTATCAGCAGTCAACATCCCATTGCAGTAACTTAAAATGCAAGACGAGACCAGCAGTGTCTTTGGATATGTGACAAGACTTAAGACCATAAGACCACATGACCATAAGACATAGGAGCAGAAATTAGGCCATTCGGCCCATCGAGTCTGCTCCGCCATTCAATCATGGCTGATAAGTTCCTCAACCCCATTCTTCCGCTTTCTTCCCGTAGCCCTTGATCCCCCTGATAATCAAGATCCTATCTATCTCAGTCTTAAATGTACTCAATGACCTGGCCTCCACAGCCCTCTGTGGCAGTGAATTCCATAGATTCACCACTCTCTGGCTGAAGAAGTTTCTCCTTATCTCCGTTCTAAAAGGTCTTCTCTTTACTCTAAGACTGTGCCCTCGGGTCCTAGTCTCTCCCTCCAATGGAAGCATCTTCCCAGCATCCACTCTGTCCAGTGCATTCAGTATTCTGTAAGTTGCAATTAGATCCCCCCTCATCCTTCTAAACTCCAATGAGTATAGTCCCAGAGTCCTCAAACGTTCCTCATATGTTAAGCTTCTCATTCCTGGGACCATTCTCATGAACCTCCTCTGAACCTGCTCCAGGGCCAGTACATCCTTCCCGAGATACGGGGCCCAAAACTGCGCATAATACTCCAAATGTGGCCTGACCAGGGCCTTATAAAGCTTTAGTACATCCCTGCTTTTATATTCAAGTTCTCTCAAAATAAATGCCACAATTGCATTTGCCTTCCTGACTAGTGACTCAACCTGCAAGTTTACCTTGAGAGAATCCTGGACTAGAACTCCCAAATCTCTTTGCACTTCAGACTTCTGAATTTTTTCCCCATTTAGAAAATAGGCCATGCTTTTATTCTTCTTACCAAAGTGCATGACCTCACACTTTCCCACATTGTACTCTATCTGCCACTTCTTTGCCCACTCCCCTAACCTGTCCAAATCCCTCTGCAGCCTCCCTGCTTCCTCAATACCACCTGTCCCTCCACCTATCTTTGTATCGTCTGCAAACGTAGCCAGAATGCCCACAGTTCCTTCATCTAGATCATTAATGTATAAAGTGAAAAGTTGTGGTCCCAACCATGACACTTGCAGAACACCACTTGTCACCAGTTGCCATCCTGAGGAAGACCGTTTTATCCCCACTCTCTGCTTTCTGCCAGACAGCCAATCTTCTATCCGTGCTAGCACCTTGCCTCTAACACCATGGGCTCTTGCTCAGCAGCCTCCTGTGCGACACCTTGTCAAAGGCCTTCTTGAAGTCCAGGCCTTCTTAAAAGCTCAAACTAAAGACTGAGGACAATATTGGGGGAAAAGATTAAACTATGAGATTTTTAAAACATTCACAGACTCAACAATTTTTACACAGACACAAGAGCTCTCTTTCTGGGACAAAAACAGAAGTTGCTGGAAAAGCTCAGCCGGTCTGGCAGCATCTGTGAAGAAAAAATCAGA